TTGAACTTGAGGCAGAGGAGGTGGTTGGAGCTATTGAAGGATTATGATGTTACTATTTTGTACCACCCGGGGAGAGCCAATGTGGTGGCCGACGCATTGAGTAGGAAGTCCGCCAGCATGGGTAGTCTTGCTTATGTTCCGGTCAGCCAGAGACCGCTTGCTTTGGATATTCAGGCCTTGGCCAATCGGTTTGTGAGGTTGGACATTTTTGAGCCTAGCAGAGTGTTAGCTTGCACGGTCGCTCGTTCTTCATTATTAGAGCGTATCCGTGATCGGCAGTTTCATGATCCCCATTTGTGTGTCCTGAGAGACACGGTGCAGCGTGGAGGTGCCACGAAGGTGACCTTAGATGATGATGGTGTTTTGAGGTTGCAGGGGCGAGTTTGTATGCCCAATGCCGATGGGATTCGAGAGTTGATCTTAGCAGAGGCCCATAGTTCTCGGTATTCTATTCACCTGGGCGCCGCGAAGATGTATCAGGACTTGCGGCAGCATTATTGGTGGCGTAGGATGAAGAAAGATATTGTTGCATATGTGGCTCGATGTTTGAACTGTCAGCAGGTTAAGTATGAGCATCAGAGGCCTGGTGGTTTGTTTCAGAGGATTGAGCTTCCCGAGTGGAAGTGGGAGAGGATTACCATAGATTTCGTTACTGGACTTCCGATGACTCGGAAGAAGTTTGATGCTATTTGGGTCATTGTTGATAGGCTGACCAAGTCAGCGCATTTTATTCATGTTGCAGTCTCCTATTCATCCGAGAGGTTAGCTGAGATCTATATCCGGGAGATTGTTCGCCTTCCTGGTGTGCCGGTATCTATCATTTCGGACCGGGGTACGCAGTTTACCTCGCGTTTCTGGGGTGCAGTTCAGCGAGAGTTGGGCACACGGGTTCAGTTGAGCACAACATTCCATCCGCAGACGGACGGCCAGTCGAAAGGACTATTCAGATATTGGAGGATATGCTCCGAGCCTGTGTCATTGATTTTGGAGGCTCGTGGGACCAGTTTTTGCCTCTAGCAGAGTTCGCCTACAACAACAGCTACCAGTCCAGCATTCAGGTGGCTCTATATGAGGCGTTGTATGGTAGGCGATGTCGGTCTCCAGTCGGATGGTTTGAGCCAGGAGAGGCTCGGTTTTTGGGTACAGATTTAGTTCAGGAGGCCTTGGATAAGGTAAAGATCATTCAGGACAGGCTTCGTTCGGCTCAGTCGCGGCAGAAGAGTTATGCGGATCGTAAGGTTCGAGATGTAGCTTTCATGGTTGGTGAGCGGGTCTTGCTCCGAGTGTCGCCTATGAAGGGCGTGATGAGATTTGGGAAGAAGGGCAAGCTTAGCCCTAGGTTCATTGGTCCATTTGAGATTCTCGACCGTGTGGGAGAGGTGGCTTATAGGCTTGCCTTGCCGCCTAGCTTGTCAGCCGTGCATCCAGTTTTTCATGTGTCCATGCTTCGGAGGTATCACAGCGATCCAGCCCACGTGTTAAATTTCAGCACTGTCTAGTTGGACAAGGATCTGTCTTATGAGGAGGAGCCGGTAGCCATCCTAGACCGGCAGGTTCGACAGTTGAGGTCAAAGAGTTTTCCTTCAGTGCGTGTCTAGTGGAGAGGTCAGCCTCCTGAGGCATCGACCTGGGAGTCCGAGTCTGATATGCGGAGCCGTTATCCTCATCTATTTCCCGACTCAGGTACTTCCTTCTTTTGTCCGTTCGAGGACGAACGGTTGTTTTAGAGGTGGAGAATGTGACGACCCAAAGGGTCATCACCTGTTTTCTCTTTCATCCCGTGCTTCTGAGGCTTTGAAAACCTCACTTTTACTTGCCTCGATTTGCATGCGCAACCCGGGCGCGTAGCCGGAAAGCTTAAATATGAATTTTTCTATGAAATTGTTTTTCTGGAATTAATATGGAAATATAAAAAGGAAATTGATTAGAACATGTTGGTATTGGGCAGTATTTTGGTTTCGGCGCCCGGTACAGGTCTTATATGTGGTTTAAGCGCTTTCTGTGAAATTAGGTTGAAATCGGACGTCATTTGACGTGTTTCGGACCTAAATATCTAAAAATGAAAGTTTATGAAGTTTGATGGAAAAGCGATGATTTTGAGGTTTGATTCCTCGTTTTTGATGTTATTTTGGCGATTTGATCGCACGGTTAAGTTCGTAGTATGTTTTTGAGATTATATGTATGTTCGGTTTGGAGCCCTAAGGGCTCGGGTGAGATTTCGGTGGTGTTCGGAGTAGTTTTGGAGTTAGGAAAAATTGCAGAAAATCTGCTGTTGGTGCACAGTAATTCCCTTCTTCGCGTTCGCACTCACCCTATCGCGTTCGCGTAGCTTTGAGCTCTTCCTCCTTCGCGTTCGCGTTCTAGCCAACGCGATCGCGATGCTTTGCTGTTTCCTCCATCGTGTTCGCGTCTCCTGATACGCGTTCACGTAGGCCAACTTTGGACCCCCAGAATTTTACCTCTTCGCGTTCGCACTTCTCCACTCGCGAACGCGATGGTTGTCAATTTTTGCCCTCCGCGAACGCGACCCTACTGTCGCGAACGCGTAGGGTAATTTCACCCAGCGATTTTTAAGTCATAAAACAGAACAGTGTCGGGTTTTATTCAAAAAATCACGAACCCTTTCTTCTCCAAAGCTTCTAGGCGACTTGTTAGGGCATTTCGTTCATCAAAGCTTCTTGGGTAAGTATTGTTTAAACTTGTCTCCTTCATTTTCCATCATCATTTATCAAATTC